GTTGCTTACAACATTGTTTTTCTTTATTTTCTTAATTGAGGTAATATTGGGGTACTCCCATCAGGTATTACCCCTGTAGTGTACTCACAACCAACTCACCCATATTCCACCATTATAAACTACTGTGCTTCGAACACTGTTTTTAAAGCTAGTGAGTTATGAAATTAATATAATGTGCAATGAACTAGTACCTTTAAAAATTAAAAAATACATAGTAGATAGAATAGAAATTTAGAGAGTATATCACATGTAGTGAGAATGAGTATATTTCATAAAACTTTGTTTTCCTTTTTTGTTTGTGCCTGTGTGTATGTGTTTTGTCAATTGAAATGTAAAGTAAGTGTAGTTTTTGCTCTGAGCTGTGGCCCAACCAACATTGAAAGCCGTTGGCTGATATCCATTCAACCACCTATCTTGGTCCTTGTGGCTGTGGTTATGCTTAATCTCATCATTGCAGCCACCTGAGGAATTAATGACTGTGTTGTAAAAAATAAAAATAAAGACGGGCAGATAATTACATAATGGATTCTCTACTATCAGAAATTAGCCATGTTTACTATACAGCCATATTCATAAAAGTCCTTCAGAATTTGCTGGCAAATAATAGAAACTTTGAGTCACCTATTTGAAAACATGTAACAGAAAAATTGACCTGAAATCTACTGAAAAGTAGTCATTCTAAAGAAAGTCTGATATATACATTCTGCTTAATATTGAATGATTTGTTTGTAAAAACAAATTGAGTATTTTCTCCGTAATCAGTCATATTAGCAGGAGAAAACTTTAGTACAACTAGAGATAATATAAAACCAGTAGTTTAGAAATTGATTTCCCCCAGTTCTTTCACTGAGGTTAAAACACATGTAAAATCTGCCATGATAACCCCTTTTAAGTGTCCGGTTCAGGGATTAAGGGTATTCTCATTGTTGTGCAGCCTTCAACCTCATCCACCTCCAGAATTCTTTTCATCTTGCAAAACTCTCCATTCATTAAATAATAATACACACCCCTCTCCCCACAATGGTTCCCCCCAACCAGTGAACCAAGACTTTGCATATGTCAGCATCACTAAATAACATTTAGCAGGGTCTATCAGTTAAATCTAGCAAAACTTGTTTTTATCAAATGCAAAGAATTTGCTTTAGGATCTTATAGGCTATATGTGTATCTCTCAAGCATTATTCTAAATTTATTTGTAATAATGTGCAGGCATGTAAGGCACTGAGGAGGAAGCATTTATAGTAACTCACCTGCTGTCCAGGAAGAGGAAGAAAAGAAATGGTGATACAGTTTTAATTCCTTTTATATATTATAAGTGGATTCCTAGGTCAGGCTTCAACAAACTACCACCACCTGTTGTTGTTTTTTGTTTGTTTGTTTGTTTTGTTTTTACAGCCTGTAAGCTTTTTATGTAGTTTTAAATAGTTGAAAAATTAATTTTAGAATAATATATCAACAAATCATATGTGAAAATTATATAAAATTCTGGGCCCTCCCTGGTGGTGCAACAGGTTAGAATGCAGCACTGCAAGCTAGCTACAACCACTTCAATCCCAGGGACCAGCGGTGACCCACATGGTGTGACAGACTCTCCTGACCCACCTGCTGCTCCCCTCAACAGTGTACTTTGTAGATCTGCCTGTTCTGCTCCTCACTCTTTCTCTAGTGAAGCCTCTGACTGCTCCTGCACCCCTGGCTTGTACCCCAGTTCTGAATAAATAAATAAATAAATAAATCTTTTTTTAAAAAAGAAAATTATATAAAATTCAAGTTTTAGTGTCTGTAAACAAAGTTGCACTGGAATACATGCACCACTGTGGATGTATATGTGTATGTATTGTTAGCTGAATACAGTGTACATTATTGGTGGTTTACGATAAGGTCAGTCTCCCTAAGCCCTTCCTCTTCTCCAGGGGGTCTGGGGTGGAAAAGTGAAGGGGTCAGGAGATGATAGTTCATTAAATGAATGGGGGAAGGACTCCCCAAGGGCTCTTCCTCTTGCTCTCCCTAGGGTTTATCCAGGGCTCTTACTCCTTGGAACATGTCTTGTCTTTTTACTTTCTTGACACTATCATCTGGGAAATGAATATTTCTGTTGCCATATTTATGAAAGAATTGCCTGAGCCATGATTACTAAATTTACTCTCATGTTTTCTTTTAAGAGTTTTTACTTTTAGTTGCTATATTAAAGTATGTCACTGTGAGTTATTGTTTGTGTATGATATAAGGTAGGGTTCGTTCTTTTTCATGTCGACATTTAGTCCTTGTCAAAAGTCAGTTGACCATAGATGTAAGGGTTTATTTCTGAAATCTCATTTCTATCCCAGTGATGTCTAACCTTATGCAAGTACCCCACTGTTTTGATCACTGTATAGCAAGTTCTGAAATTGGAAAGAGTAAGTACTCTAAGTTTCCTCTTCAACATTATTTTGGTTATTCTGAATGTCTTTGTATTTCCATATATATTTTAATATCACAATGACAATTTCTGTAAATGTCATATGTTATTGAACCAATAGTGTCAACAGTGCATTTCATTCATTTTGGTGGACTTGACTAAGATTAGCTAAATGAATTTTTTTCTGAAACAGAAGATGAATATTCTAACTTGTCTGACTACTTATTTCAGTAGCCCAAACACTGGTAAAATTTTACCGCAAATGTTTGAGGTCAGCACTGATTGAAATTTTTGTGAATGGGAACTTCCTTCAATCACTCTTGTGGGACACTGAATAACTTTAGAAATTAGCTTTTATTGCAGACTTAATGCTTCTTAGTGAACTCATTAAAAAATTATCACAAAATAGGTAGTTACATGGAAAGCCTCACTTAGTCACTAGTATGTGACTCAAAAGTAAAGTTAAGCTGCTTTATACACTTCCTATTCTGTCAAAAGTTAAAACAAAAAATAAGATTTTCATCTCACATATATTTGCACTAAATAGATTTTGCAAGTTAAAATTACAGTTGTAGCATTTCCTTTTTAAACACAATACAAATATAAAGGAAATTTCCTTTTTTGGAAAATACATTTCTCTGTGTGACTGAGGAGCTGTCACCTAACCTTTATTTGAAAGTAATTAATCTGAGAAATAATGACATACGAGAAGGCAAATATCAAGAGGAGAATTTAATAAAGTTCTGCTAAGAGATGAATATGCTTAAATAAATTATAAGTTCATTTTAGAAGGCATGGAATTTTTTGGTGATGTTGGCACAATATTGTGAATTTGCTACAGAACACTGAACACATACTTCCAGCTGGCTTAAATGATGATTTTTTAGCATCATTTTCTCAATTTACAAAATTATAAGTTAGAAGTAATATCAGGATATGGTAATAACTATAAGTGCAAAAGGCATTTCTATAAAGATGAAATATATAATTTTTCACTATACTTAACATTAGTAAATGGGGACTTGTAATTGATTTTAGTGATAATAATACCTTGAATGTGTTATGTAAGTCCATTCTGACTAGTAGACTTGTTTTACAAAAAGTTTACTCAGTTATTATTGGCATATTTTTAATTTTATGAATAAAATTTTGTAAAAATTATTTCCTCTCTCACTATATGAAAATCCACTTAACTTTCTCAATTTTGACTCTTGGTTCTGTAAAGTCTAAAATATTTACTATCTGAGACTTTTTAAAAAATGTTTCTTAACTTTGCTTTAGGTGAATACACTAATGATAACTGTTAGGAGTAGTTGTTTGTTTTTTTTTTTTTTTCTTTTAATCTATGGAATGTTCTTAGTTATATATCTCTGATTCAAGATGCTTATGGCAATCCTAGAACCAATGGATTTATAACTGTCTTAGAGAATGTCATGTGAACTAAACAACTCTGAGTTGTAAATGGGAGATTCATTGCAACTTGAACACACCCTGTTGGGTAAGTTCACTCTAAAACCTCATTTACAAGCCTCATCTATTTTTCTAGACCTCAGAGAACATATATAGTGTGAGAATGTAGTACCTACAAAATCAACAGAATGCCCTAGACCTTTCCAGACTCTACCTGTACTTCTTGATTTGCTTGCACCTGAGATTATTAGTTAAGCTTGATATTAGGTATCATGTCTGATATTTATAAGATTTGACAGACTAAACCTATGTGTTAACTCATGTGCTATTCACCTATTTGAAAACTTAGTCAGTCTTCAGAGTCACAGAGTAGTTTGACAAGACCACCCCACATATTATTTTTAACTTGGAATAGAAGATAATTAATCTCTTTAAAAATAGGTAAAAAGACCATAATTTATGAAAGAATTATTCGGTGTAATTTTATAATAAGCCTGCTACCTTCTGCTTTATAGTCCACATATTTCTTGAGGTTCCTTTGAAACTCATTGTTGTCTGAGTTTCAGACAAACTTATTTAAAATTTTAACTTTATATTAACTATCTTTTCATGAAAATGAGCCAATATACTCAAGTGACAAGGATACTTTGACCAAATGTGCTATATCATCTTTACATAGCAAAAGTTTAAAATTAATCTTTTCAACCATATCATATCGTCATCTAATTTGTCAAGTTCGAAAGATGATTATCCCTCAAAATTTCTGTAAAATGTACTGTTGCCTTCAAAATATTTATTCCTATTCTTTACAACACTGTTTTTCAACTTACACGAAGGAAAATCTTCTGTCTCAAAACTTTAATATATCCCAAAAAACAGAACAAAATAATCTTCAAACAATTCTTATTGATCTCCCTTGGAATGCTTTGTTCTTGATACAATATGCTAGTATTAATGTCTTTTTCCTAAAGATATGTAACCTCATTCCTCTGAAAAACTGTTTGCCTAAATGCATGTTTCTCCGTTGTTTGGAGTTCTCTTAACTGATTAACAAGAAAAATCTTGTACCACTATATAAACTTGTGGAGACATAAATGAAAACATTTAATAAAAGATAATTGAGTGGGTAGTGCCATTATGAAATACACAATTGTAAAATATTATGTATCCTTTTTTTGGTTTTGTTTTTAAGGAAAAACATTAACTTTGGGGCTACATCAAGAATAGTACCAGTTACATGGACATTCCCTTCTACAGTTGCAGAAAATCTTTGATAATTAGTTGAGAAAATGCAGAAGATTTTACAAACAGATGAAATTACCAATACCCAAACTCTTAGAAAAGGAAAAAGGAAAAGGACAGAGACAATGGATTCAGAGAATGCAAATAGTGACATGGATAAAGGACAGGTTGGTGTTTTATTGCCTTGGTACAATTTTATTTTCTAGATCAATGTTAAGTCCATAATGCCTTTCATAATTCATATTCTATATATTGAAATTTCCCCTCTTCTATTAATTAATTCTCCCCTTTAAGTCTTTATACAGCTGGGAATTTAATTCATGTTATTTTTAATATTGAACAAGCAGACATTTTTATTTGCTTCTATTTAAGTATGGCCTATTAACCCATTGTCCAAAAATGTGAAATATAATATTCTGTGAAATTAATGATCAGCAAACTATTAAAAAACATTTTTCCTCTTAAAAACTGGTGGACAAATTAAAACACCTCACTAAAAGGTATTTTCAACAGCAGTTTGTGGCCCATCCTCATCACTGCTCTGGTTAAGATTACTAATTTTACTTTTTATGTTTTTATTTATTCACTTTCTGGATAAAAATTCCCCACTCCCATATTCCTATACTTTGAAAAACCTATCAATGTGTTTATCTTGTATCTTTTTATGTGTCTTTGTAATACATGCATTTGTGCATGTTTTACCTGCATGTGATCCTATTTCATTTTTCAGATGCCTACTACCCATTGTCACAATTAAAATATTTTTCATATTAAATTTTGAAGTTTCCTTCATATTCCCATCCCATCTACTCTATTCTCACATCCCATGACCACCATGGTAATCAACTAATTTCATTTTTGCTTATCCTTCAACTGTTTCTCTGTTCAAATAAAGCAAATATAAGTAGAGTCTTACCCTTCTTTTCCACAAAGAGGAACTTACCAAGTATGCTGTTTTGTATGCTATTATGTTTTAAGTTTTTAACTTAATGTATATTGAAGATCTTTCTACTAGTACAAAGGATTTTCCTTTTTACTGTTCCATATTATTCCACTGTGTATACATAACATGTTTTGTTTTACTAGCCCCCAAAGATGGATATGAGGTCTTTCTGATCTTTTTCTTATTACAAACCAGGGTGCATACACTGTGCAACATTATGGCTACATCATTTTGGTGATACAATGGTATCATAATGTACACCTCGATCTGTTTCTAATTTTTCAGAAACACTTAACTGACATCTGTCTATATTACTGTTATGCCTATTAGCTATTGCATCTCACTACTCCACAGTTTAGATAGTGTACTTACCCTTCTTCCAATGATGCCTCCAGCATCTTGCTGGACAAAATAATAGTCCCTACAAATAATAATAAAATAATACCTCTTAAATATTCTTTTAAGAAATTGTTAAAATTTCCTATAAATAGAATAAACACATAAGAAAGTGTTTTATGACTCCTAAGTTACATGATAATTTCTAGTTGGTATCTAGACTAGATACCATAAAATTGCTTTCCAGAATATCCTCATTAGCCGCAAACATAAGGGGCTCCTATATTTGTACTTCCCCACCAAAACTTAGCACTTATATCCATATTTGTCATTTTTAATATTTCATAGGAGGAAATATTTCATTTTGCTGTTCTAATACAGATTTGAGGGTCCAGTGGTTCCTTGAGGGTTAAAGTAGCCACATGCTGGGCCCTCTCTGGTAGCACAATAGGGTAGGACTCAGCACTGCAAGCTAGCCACAGCTGCTTCAATGCAAGTTCAATCCCTGGCCCTGGAGGTGATCCACATGGCGTGGCAGAACTCTGTTGACCCGCCAGCTGCTCCCCTCAGCAGTGTACTTTGTTGATCTGCTTGTTCTGCTCCCCATTCTATCTCTGTGAGGTTTCCCACTGCCCCTGCACCTCTGGCTTGTACCCCAGTCTTGTATGCATAAATAAATAAATCTTAAAAAAAAAAAAAACTGGGTTCCAAATGTTTTTTTTTTTTTTTAAATAGCTACATGCTCTTACAGGCCATTATTATGATTCCTTTAGCAAATGTTTTCCTCCAAAACTTAATAGCTTTCCAAATTATTTATTTCTATTTGCTTCCATTGCAAGTAACTATGAGATCTTATTTGCTCATAAGTAATCTGAACATTCTCCTCATTTATGATGATATCTGTTCTCAGCATCTTTGCCCTCTAACTTATGACAGTAATCTAAAGGTTGAATAAAACAAAGAGCATGGGGGAGACATACTAAATCCAATGATTGCCTCTCGGGCCCCTCAATATTGAGCAAAGAACACTAAAAGAGAAGCTTCTGTGGAATCCTATGGTTATAGTTTGTCTCCTGCTATTTAGAAGTAGAAGTAATTAACTTTCTCAAACTCAATGGTTTGACATTATTGGACTCAGTTAATTTAGATTGCATGCTACATTCTAAGAACTAATAGAAGAAGATAAATTTCCATCTCTGCAAACTGGCTATCACTGACAAGAAGCTGCTGATATACACCAGCATTCTTTCTTTCTCCAGGCTCCATGGACACACAGTTTGCCTTCCAAGGTATTCGGGGGGGGGGGCACCAAGATTTAACAAGAGTCAACAGCTTTTCAGAATGTTACACCTGTATTCTTCTTGATATAAATTAACCTCTAAGCAGTTCAGACATATGTCAAGTTTTGGGTAATACTGTTTCTAGATAGCAAAAATGGGATCAGTTATGTGCTACAGAAACTACAGAAAGGGTCAACGAAAACAGTGACATATACAAGATGAAAGTTCATTTCCCTTTCACGTAATAACAAGAGCAATCTAGCTATAACAGCTCCACAACACTCAGGATCCTTCTAATCTTGTTTATTTTACCTTCCTCCACACTCAGCCACTATCTCTGAGTAAGATGCCTACTCCTTTTCCTGTTATCATCTTTTCTCTCCGCCAAAATCAAAAGGAGAATAAAGCAGGAGAAGGCATGCCCATTCTGTCAAAGTCCTGATGCAGTCGTGGTATACATGGCTACTACTCATGTTCTCTTGGCAAGAAATTAGTCATAGAAGCATACTGACCTGCATGGGAATCTGATAAATGTAGTCTGCAGCTGACAGCTATTTGTAGAACTATAAACTTTTGGTTGGGGCCTCCCTGGTCGTGCAAGGGGTTAAAAGACAGCACTATGAAGCTATCCACAGCCACTGCAGCACAAGTTCTATCCCCAGCCAGACAAATGGCCCACCTGGTACAGCAGACCTCTCCTGTCTTACCTGTGAATCCCCTCAGCAGTGTATGTCTAGATCTGCCTGTTCTGCCCCTCACTGTCTCTGCTGAATCTCCTCATACTCTCACCCCCTGCATCTCTGGCCTGCACGCCAGTTCTTATATGCATAAACAAATAAAATCTTTAAAATAAATAAATAAAAATTAAAACCTATTATTATAGAGAACAAATACCTGGAGATAACCTATAGTTTCTGCCACTGTGCAGATTCTTATTGGATTTTTATCTTTTCTGTTGAATTTCATAGTCGATTGTGGTGGGATTTCTGGTCTAGTCTTCATTATTTGCACAAATACTACAAGAGAAATCAGTTTTCTGTGGTTTTAGATTTTGCAGATACCGGTCCCAATATGATATTTGTCCATTAACTTTATGTCTTTCCACTGATGCTTATTTCTTTCCTGTAGGAACCTGCTAAAAGTGGCAAGAACTAGAACATATATTCTAATGTGCTGTCTGCAGTTCATCATAGGGTTCTAGTTTGAAACAGTTCTTTTAAGATATTAGTATAACGACAGGATTTAAACCTCAGTGGATCCTTAGTTCTCACCCTCTCCACTTGCAATATTTTTCCTGGGAAGTAATCCAAGCTTTCAAGACTCTTACAGAGCATTCCAGCATCTGGAGAGAGTTACTAGTCTTCTGTGGAGATTCTGATTCCCATGACTGTTTCCTAGATGTTGATATTACTATCACCTGTCTTCCCAGGACCCTGGGGCTCTACTGGCACTAGATGTTGATATGTGCCATCCTGGTGCCGTGACTATATTTTATACAGTTCTGGCATCTTGTGTGCTCTGGCTGCATACTAAGCTGATTCTGTTTCACCCATTCCCTCAGCACTTTCCTATCTCCTGACCAGGACACAGGGTCTATTTGTATTCCCTAAACCTGAGTCTTGAGTCTCTAGGCCCTTTGTCTAGAACACCAGTGTTGACCATTTCTAATCTACAGCCCAGAGAGATACCACATTACCCTGATCATATACTGACACAGCGCCTCTTTAGGGACTCACAGTGCACTAAGAAGCAAGGAGCCAACCCTCCTGCTCTAGGACTGCTCCTCATTTATCTGAATGTTTCTACCACACCCCTGTGGTCCATCTTCTTTCCCCTCATCCCCAAAAAGCAAGTGCAAGAAAAGATAAAGACACTTGACTCTGATTCCCATGCTTTGCTCTTTATTCTATAGGCTCCTCCTGAATGTCTTTTCCCTCCAGATGCAGAAGGAACTTCCTTTATGTGGTGCCTTTATCTGTTTTACTCTAAAATTTATTTTAAGAAACTTTATTACTCCAGACTTCTAAATCTGGATCTTCATACATTCTCTATGCTACAATTTTCCAGATTTGAATTTATACATACAAATAGAGATCTATATATAGCTATATCTAGCTAGCTATATATGTATATATGCATACACACACACACACACACATATATATGTATGTATGTATGTATATTTAAAGTTTAGCTTGGTACTTTGAGAATATTCCTGTCTCAAAACAGTCTGGATTTGACTGTATTTTGAGCATGTATTTTGAGACAATTTTCTTGCAATTGACCTTAAAAACTGTTTCTAAACATAGAACATAAATTCTTTGTCTACATGAATCATTTCTCTTTTTTCTCTGATGCAATAAACCTCAAAACTGGCTTCATAGAATAGTCTTTACAGCAAAGCTGTGAATGAAGAGTTAGGAGAAAATGAAGATTGGAGATAAATTACAAAGTTGGTTGTCTTATTGACTCTACTCTGGTACTGTCTTTCTTATTTGTATTTTTTACTGATATTTGAAAGTCAGAATCCTGATTTCTGCATTGAAAGAGATGGGCATAAAACTCTGGCGCTCGTCCTCTATTCTGACTTCTAGGTAATGGGGAGATTAAGCTGAGCTAGTCGCTAAGTAGGGCCCAGCTCCTCTCCTGGAGCTGGAAATCCCCAGGAAAACAGAAATTTGTAGGTGTAATGAATTCTTTGTCAGCATACAGAACATGGGCTAAACCATAAAAGTTGCTTTGAAGCCTCTTCTGTTGTGCCTGCCTTGTATTTTAGAGAGACCCATTTTCGGGAAATGCTTTTCTGCCTGGGGAGAGCTCCAGTGAAGATGAAGAACCTTTAGCAGAGTTGTCCAAGGAAGAATTATGCATGAAAATAAAAAATCTGAAACAAAAACTAACAAACACCCGGAAAGAAAACAGCCGACTTCGACAGTCTTTGGTCATGCTTCAAGGTAACCTTTGAGAAAATTGACAATATTTTAGATGAAAGAGTAAACAAATGATGAATGAGACATATTGCAAATCAGCTGTAAAGAGTGGAAAAGAAAACTAGTACTTTAGCTCAAAAAAGCACATTTTAAGAAAATCAATGATTACATATCTTAATACAGAAGTGCTCTATCAAAGCATCTACTTAATTGCCTAGAATATCTTAAGTTAGTCTCACACAATACCAAAGGTGTTCATTTAGTAATATTTAGTGATTATTTATTGAGCATTTAATATAGGCCACTCACTGCACTAGATCTTAGAGAGAAAAGGTTAGTAAAACAAAATTAATGTGTTGAGGTGTTGATGATGTACTCATTTCATTTTCTTCTGCAAGGAAAAGCACTAGAAAATGGGTCTGTTGTCACCCATTTCAGAATCACTGCAATTAGTGATTTCACATATTAAATTTTGGTTTTGGCATTGGCAGGGTTAATTTGAAGAAATAATCACATTTCATTATAGGCATATAAAGGGGAAAGATCAGCATAAGCAAATTTAAAAGCATTTGATATAATGCTTTTTTGTAGGACCCAATATTGTGCTTAACTGCTTATTTTTTCAAAAATTAAGTTTTCTATTTGCAGTTAAGCATAATGTACTATTTTGTACAACTGAAAATTTGTAAGCTGTATGTTCTGTCAGGCGTTCTATTGTAAACAGTAAATACGCAGAACACTTGAAAATAAGTCCCTTTGGCTGCGTGTGCAGAATGAGTACTTGCAGCAGAAGAAGTTAGGAAGAACTGGCTGGTTGATACGTTAGTAATACCAACTAACACAATGCTGCCTTCAGAAAGACAGAGGATACTTCGAGAATATTTTTGAAGGCAGAATTTATAGGAGACATAGTACATGTGACAGCAAGATTAACAGAGTAAAACTTTACGTTAATGAATGACTTTCCTCAAAATATTTACTAAATTGAATAGTTTATATAGTTGTAAGTAGAAACAGCTGCATATGCATGGAAATAAGATGTTTATTCTATTAATGAACCATTATTTCTTTATTTTTTCAATTTCAAATATTTCATTTTTGAAACTGAAGATTTTCAAAGATTTCAAAATTTTGTTCTAGAATTTAAAGTAAGATGAAAGTCTGTTTTTGTAAAGTTAGTATAAAATACTATTAGTAATTAAAAGTATTGATTGGGGAGTTTCAGACCTAGATGTGAATCTTAAGTTTGCTACCAGCTATACAACTTTGGCCATGTCGCTTTGCCAAGCCTTCATCCCTAGTTTTAATTTCCTCAAATAAAATGAGGGCTATCTATTACAATTGATTTCTACAAAGATTAAATGAGATAGTTAGAGAAATACTGTAACATTCCTGGTACAGGATAGGTGTTTAATCATGGCAATTGTTATTACTCTTTTTTTTGTGTGTTAGCACCAAAAGTTTGCTTGTAAACCTACACCAAAACAAAAGTAGACAAAATTTTATTATAATTTAGATAAGAAAATTCTAGATGAAATAGTAGCAAGTCAGTTTTAATAGTATGTATAAAAAAATATCTCTGACCAGTGTCTTGTCTCTCACATTCCTGGATTGCTTTCATTTCCTCCTCTCTTTTCTTCTCTCTGCTAACTACCTTTACCTCCTCCTGTAGCCTCTCTCTCAGCTAATGACATCTTCCTATTTCATTGAGAAATTGGAGGCTATGAGGAAATTTTCATACCCCTGCATGTGTGCTTATAGATGCTACACTTTCGCTCCATGTCCTCTCCTCTTCTCTACCTAAAGGCAATTGTCTCCATTTGTACATCAGATCCATCCTCCTTTGCTTAGCCAATGACACAGCTCCGAAGATTCTTCCCACTTTTTCTTGAAAAATTCAAATTTTCCTCCTCTAATGCATCATTACTATCAACATCAGAAATACTATTATTTCTCCCACTTAAGAAAAAATTTAAAAACCTCTCAGGCCATTTACTTCTCCTCCTCTCAGCTTATTTCCCCCCCCCCCTCTTTATAGGAAAACTTTTTAAGCGGCTTCAGTCTACATACTGTGTTCACTTTCCCTCTCTATTGTCTCTGATCCCACTTCATTAGGTCTTTATCATTACATTGCATTCTCTTCTCATGATCACTCATAACTTCCATATAATAGTTTGCTTGAGCTACCATAACAAAGTACTAATAAGTGAGAAGCTTAAACAACAAATTCATAGTTTCACTGTTCTGGAGCTAGAATTCCAGAATTGAAATATCAACAGAACCATGCCTTCTCAGAGGGCACTTAGAGAAGCTCTCTCTCCTTATCTCCTGGCAATATAATGTGGATATTCACATAGTGCCCTGCCTATATACTTGTTTCTGTGCCCAACCTATCCCCCTTTTATAAGGATCCGAGTATTTTTGGATTAAGACCCATCCTAATGACCCAATTTTAACTTGATTACATCTGTAAAGACCTATCTTTAAATAAAGTTTCATCCTGAGGTGCTTCGGATTAAGACTCAAATATCTTTAGGCAGAATACAATTCAGTCCATAACATTCTCTGTACTGTCTTTGTACAACTTTTCAACAGTCTTTGTACAGGTTGTTTCCTCACCCACATGGATTCACTTCAAACCTGCACTCCAATTCATCCTTTCCCTGCTCTCCTCTACACATCTAAATTTTCAACTTCTCAGCAACATTTTGTGTTCCCTTCCCTTGCCTGTTTTTTCCTAACTGATCCATGCAACTATATATAATCTATTATTTATTTAGTATTTTTTGCTCCACTACACTCATTGGACTTCAGATGACAAGAAGTCAGGACCTGCCATCTCCCACTATCGTTTTCACACATGCATGTATTAGTCAACAAATATTTATGAAAGACCTACTTACTATCCTATGGCCCTAGGAAAACTAATCAATAAAATAAAGACTTTTTTCTCTCAAAGTGTATGCAACAATACCTACCTAAATAATTATGTAATTAATTACTTAATGTTTTAATTGGTGACAAGTGCTATGGAAAAAACAGGTGCAATAAAGAAAGACTGGGATTTGAGGGAAATGGGAAAGTTTTAAAATTTAAAGTAGTATGGTAATAGTAGAAATCTTTGTGAAGCTATATTTGGGAATTTGGAAGATACTGGAAAGTTCAAATTCTGTGTATATACCAAGTAAGAAAAAGCTCTAAAAGAAAAATGCATACTGGGAGTTTATCTTCTATTCAGTCATGCTCCTAAATAACTCTGAATGAAGCATAAGGGCTGTTTTTAAGTAAAGACCAATAAGGAACATGGTAGCGTAGACATGCCATTCTAGCCATTCAGAATGCAAAAGGTGTGTGTGTCTATGTGTGCTAACATTTGAATAATATTTCATTGATCAGACCAAGAATGATATGAAAGAAAGTATTAAGTTAGCTAAACTAATAGAATGAATGTACACTTAGGAAAAACGAAGCATCACCAAAAGCTCAACTCTTGTAGCTAATAAAATTTAGTAGACTCAAAAGCTGTTTTTCCTGGTGTCACTTAAATAAGAGCAAAAGCGTACATTAAATATTTGAATATTTCTTCCTTTCTTGAAACCCCACCAAAAGTAAATTTAAAATGCATGAAAGCACAAGGACAACAAAAATTCCAGAGAAGACAACATCAGCTAAAAGATGCCAAAAGTTTTGAAGCTGAACAACAGATGACTGAACAACAGAAAACTGAAAGCTGGTGTCTGTGATGGAAGTTGGGGTCCTGACTTTTGTTGGTTCAACTTACAATTATTTTACATATTTAACATAGCAAAATTAAGTGATGATATCCTACAGCTAGATGTGTTAAATGAGAACCCCATTGTTAGTTGAAGAATATCTTTAGAGACAGAAAATTTAAAAGAAATGTCAAATTATTGAATCACAAAGCTGTAAAAACTCAGGAATTATACCTGCAAATGATATTATAGTAGTACTGGTGGTGGTAGGAAGGTAGAGTCAAAGCCTACCGAAAGACCCTACTGGTCCACAAAGTCACAAATACAGTCATCCCATGGACCATGCAGCTATCATTCCTCATCACAGTAGGAAAAAGAGATTTTCTTCCAAAAGAGATTGAACCAAAGTTCTCAATTTAGGGAAAATGGGCACAGCTGAAGAGAGTACAATTATTTGAGGAACCCCACTAACACAGAAAACAGATCAAAACAAAGACAAAAATAAATTTAGAGGAAACAGGTGAAGAAGGAGGCAGACGAAAGATCCATGAAAAAAAGACCAAGGAATATTTAAAGAACAAGAAGGAAGGAACTGGTCACTCACTAAAATGTCTAAAAGTTATAGTTGAGAAAATCTTGTTATTAGAACAAGAAGAAAAAGAAAAGGGAAATAGAAAAATTCGGGAAATAGAGACTCGAAACAGATGGTCACACATCTCAAGACAAGAGGGCCTAAAAGAGAAAAGTGAGGGCCTCCCTAGTGGCACAAAGAGTTAAGTCACAGCAATATGAAGCTATGGGTAGTCACTGCAGCACAAGGTAGATCCACAGCAAGAAGATGGCCCACATGGTGCAGCAGACCTCTCTTGTCTCACCCATGGTGAATCCGCTCACCAGCCCCTGCATCTCTGGCCTACACCCCAGTTCATGTATGCATAAATGAACTCTTTTTTTTTTTTTTTAAAGAGAAGTAAGAAGAAGAAAATAATTAACAGTAATATCATCAGAGAAATTCAAATCAAAACCAAAGTGAAATACCACCTCACACCTGTGAGAAAGACTCATATCAAAAAGGCCAGAAACAACAAGTGTGGACAAGGATGTACAGAAAAAAGTACACTAACACTTTATTGGTGTGAATGTAGACTGGTCTAGGTTAGTGCAGCACTATTTAGAGTAGCCAAGTTAGGGAAGCAACCTAATTGTCCAACATGAGTAGATTTAGAAGATATGATATACAATGAAATACTATTGAGTTGATATACACACATATATATACATTTATATAATAAAGATTTATATTTATAAACAGAAATATATAGATATAGATAGATGAAATCTTGATAATTGTTGATAATATGGGTAGAACTGGAGGGAATTATGCTAAACAAAAAGTGAGAAAGAGAATGACATCCCATTTACAATTGCAAAAAGATGAAATAGGCCCTCCCTGATGGTGCAGCAGGTTAAAGCACAGCACTAAGAATCGAAAGCCACTTCCGCATGAGTTCGATCCCCACCTGCCCCAGAGGTGACCACATGGTGCGGCAGACCTCTCCTGACCCGCCCACTGCTCCCCTCAGCAGTGTACTTCTTGATCTACCTGTTCTGCTCTCCACTCTGTCTCTGGTGAATCCTCTCACTGCCCCTGTGCCTCTGGCCTGTACCCCAGTTCTGTATGCACAAATAAATAAATCTTTTTTAAAAAAAAGATGAAATAAATACCTGCTAGTAAACTTAACAAAAGTTGAAGGGCCTATACATCAAAAACTATAAGAAACAGTCAAAGGAAATAAAAGAAGGCACAAAGAAATGGAAGGATATCCTGTCTTCATGAATTAGAGAAAACAAACATGGATAAAGTGGTCATATTACCTAAAATAACTCACAGGTTCAATGTAATACCTATCAAATTCCAATGACATTTTTTCAAGAAAATAGAGAAATTATACAATTTATATGGAACTACAACAGAACGCAAATGCCCAGGGCAATACTGAGAAAAAATAAGAAAAATGAAGGTATTATACTCTCTAGCTTCAAATTATACTATACAGAAATAGTAATCAAAAAAATATCATATGGAAATGGAACAAAAACAGAAACTTGGACCAATGGAATAGAACAGGGAGTCCAGATATAAACTCATACAAATATGTACAAAGGAACAATGATCACAGAATGGAGAAAGGTAAACCTCTTTAACAAATGGTACTTGGAAATTTGGACAGCTGAATGTCAGAAAAAGAAACTAAATCCTTTCTAAAGTCCATACACAAAAATTAATTCAAAAGAAATTGAAGACTTGAATGCAAGACCTGTTCTTACATAGATGATATACTCCTGGACATCAGCTACAAAGAAGTACTTGAGGATGCAACTCCAGAGCAAGGGAAACAAAAACACAAATTAAACAAATGGGGCTACATCAAACTAAAAGGCTTTTACAGAGAAAGAAGCCATCATAAAAACAAAAAAGCAACATACATACCAGGTAAAGATACTTGCTCATCACACATAGGACAAATGAGATTTTTGAGTTCAAATCAACAACAATAAAACAAACACCCAATTTAAAAAAAAAGTGGACAAAGGACCTGAATATGCTCTTCTCCAAGAAGATATTCAGATGATCCACACACATGAAAAAAAATGCCCCACATTGCTTTTTGTAAGGGAAATCCAAATCAAAACCACAAGATATTACATTGCCCCCATGAGAATGACCTATATCAAATAAACTGGAAGCAACAAATATTGGAACAACATAGAAATTAGAACTGGATATATACTAAAAATACCCCCTCAGCAGGTGAGTGGACATATTAATTATGGAGTACCACATAATAAAATATTTATCAAAAAGGAATGAATAACAGACATACCCTATGACATGCATTGAATCACAAAATATGTAGAACAAAATGTTAGACAGAAAAAGGAGGATATATATTTTCATTTATATGGAATTCTAAGGCAGATAAAATATAACTAAAAACATCATATCAAGTTCTCCTTGGTGATGCAAGGAGTTAAGTCTCAGCACTATGAAGCTATCTGCAGCCACTGCAGCATGAATTCAATCCCCAGCCAGGTAGCTGACCCACATGGCATGATTCAAAAATCACTCATGATTCAAAAATCACTCATGACCCACATGGCATGATTCAAAAATCACTCATGATTCAAAAATTACTCATGACCCACATGGCATGATTCAAAAATCACTCATGTTAATTAGGAGCTGCACAACAGACCTCTCCTGAACTGCCCACTGCTCCTCTCAGTAGTATTTCAGTAGATCTGCCTGCTCTGCTTCCCACTCTGTCTCTGGTGAATCCTCTCACCCCCTGTACCTCTGACCTACACCCTAACTCTTATATGCATAAATAAAATAAATTTTTAAAAAGACAGAAAGAAATCATACCAGTGGTTGTCTATGAGGTAAATCTAGGGATTCACTTAGAGGGACAAGAGATAATTTTCTAGGAATATGCAAATATTTTATATCTTGATGGGTATGTCTTAAGTGGGTATAAAGTGGATATATACTATTTTCAAACTCATCCCCCTTTACCTACTTAATTTCTTCTCAAAATTTATATAAGGTCTTACCTTTGCTCCCATGTAAATTAGACCACAAGAAGTAATATTTTCCAAGAATGTCTAACAAAATAGGCAGAGTATTCATATTATAGAATTCATTGGAAGTAGAATCTTGATAAAATGCCATGGATACAATACGGTGCTGATTATGTTTTATATATGTGTATATGTGACTATAAAAGTGCACAGGTGTGAAAGCATGTATGCCAATGACTGTGAACACCTTTCATAATTGGAAAAGACAGTAAATACTCATGAAGTCACACTTGATATCAAATTCCCCTTTTTTTCTACTTTCTAGCTTTTGCCATCTTGCAGTTCCTCAAATATAAACTTGTATTTCCTACGCCTATAATGACCTGTCCTTCCCTTAACCTCTTTCAATTCCCAGTCAGTCTTTGGCTCTTAGATCAATCTTGATCACTTCAGGATGGATCAAGCATTTTATGCGTCACCTTTGTGGAACCTAACAATTGTATCTCAATGTATCGCATATACATTGAGTTAGCCAAAGTGCAAGGTTAAGGGTACTGTACTCTAGATTGTCAAGCCTGCCTAATAATAATTCTATCTCCAATAGAAGTTTGGGAGTTTTCAAAAATCACTCATGTTAATTGGCAGGAAAAATATCACAACAGGAAAAAACCTGTTATACCCATGGTTACATTTATTATAGGGGAAAATGAAAATTTGAAACAGTCAGAGGAGATATATTGGGCAGAAGCTGGATGTTCCAGTGTCCAAAATTTATACTGAAGCTTAATTATGTAGGCATGGTTGATTAAATGTTGTTGAATTCTGTTTCTAAATCTCTCTGACTTTCTGACAAATTTCTAAGAGTGCTTCTAATGGCACCCTATGACTATTGGGTGTGATGGTACCCACCCTGAGAAACTCCTTAGTTTTAACTATCAGGCGTGGCCCATGGGGTAACCATGAATAACAAAGACAGTCATTTTATTACTAGGGAAATTTCAATTCTTTAGAGGTTACTTCCTGCTTGGGTGAGGCAGGAAGTCTTTTTTGAGCAAGTCAAACTCTTACTATACAGTATGGTTATATAAATAATGCCCTCAGCCCCCCTGGTTCCAAAAGGATCATATCTTGTTTTGCTGCCACTCCCATCCCTCCCACCTAACATACTCGTTGGCAAATGTTAGAGCCTGCATAACTTAGTAATTTATAGCAAGGAATCAGGAAAATATGACCTTATATGTTGGGCCTTCTTTTCATTAATTGGGTTTATTTCACAGGTAATTTAACCTCTTGTTAACTGTCCTCGTCTACAAATTGGGGGGGGGGAATGATAATACCTGTCTCAGAGTTATAAATAAGAATTAAAAAAATGAACATTGGTAGAAATATCCAAATAGTGTCTGGCACAGAGTAATAGCTAAATATTTTGTATTATTAAATGCTCAATACATAATACTAATTGAATATGCAACTGGCACATGAGAGGTGCTTCACACATCTTTTATTTGAAGTATTGCAGAATCTTTAGTAGATATTAATATAGATAATGACATATTCACTTAGACATATCATCAATAGGACTGACTTTCAGTTCTCAAATAAAATTGTATTCTAAAGATTATAGCTCATTGAGAAATTTATGAAAAAAGTCTCAGTCTTTTTGCCTCTCTAGCAGGCAGGACCCTCAACCATAGAATGAGAAATTGAATTAGGGTTCAAGGTGTCTTCCAACTCCAACAAAATGTTATTTGTCCTTAGGAAACAAACTAGATATAACAACAGAGAAGACCATTTTACATGGAGGCATGAAACCTTTGAATGTGTAAGTTTCCATTTAAAAAAAGGAACAAAGAAAACTTTTAGTTGATTAACAAAATTCATCTAAATATGTGGAAATTTAGGTTTGAAATGTGGCAGTGTATTTTTACTAATTTGATAGAATTTGATTCCTAACAAATCACATGCAGAAGTCATAGAAAATTTATTTTAATCTATGAGAAATGTCACTTAAACTGAACTAATGTGAGTATTTGGAAGGTGATAATAGAATCAGTAATGTTTCCAAACAAGAGATTAAACACCTTCAAAGAACTCAAAGAATACTATTAGCAGTCAGGGCAAAGAATCAACTTAAAAAAAAACTCTCAAATCTGTTATGAAGTAAAATGTATTATATATACACACATATATAATATATATTCAAATGCAATAACCAAATGTTTTAAAATTGATTTATTATTAAGGAAATGTTAAAATTATTTAATAATAAAAAATAAATGTGTTCCAATCACTCTTTAACCACGTTTATTTTCCGAAGACAACACATGTTAATAACTTGTTCCACATTTTTCGATGCATAAACACACAATTAAAATATGTGTGTTTGTTCCTGTTTTTAAAAGTATTTGTAAATTGTTAATTTTTGCCATTTTAGTGTTACCACAGGCAGTCACCCAGTTCGAAGAATTGGTTGGGATGGCAGAGGCCCTCCTTAAGGGTGGTGGAACCATGCCTACAGCGGCATCAACCCTCTGGAGAGCAACAAACAACTCCTCACCAGATTCATTTGCTTCAACGTGCAGTAATTCTAATTCTAATTCCAGTTCACCCATTTCCCTAAAAGCTGAAGAAGAGCATCATACTGATGAGAAACAGGTCAGTAAAGATTCTCAGGAATGCAGTTAAATATGAAAATTAAAATAAGTGTACAAAAGGATAATTGTTTATCAAATACCTTCAGGTAACTATCATTCAGAAACATAGCTTTCCAATTGCATAACATGATATTTTACAACAAATTTAATATTTAACCAAAATAAAATTGCAGATAACGACAAAGTTGGTAAACCATGAAATTCTTAAGTAAATGACAGATAACTATGCATTAAGGATTATAAAATTGTATCATTAAAAGAAGATAAATTTCAGCCTCTTCTTGATGGTTACACAATTCTTTTTCTATTTTCCCATCTCTCTTTATCAAGAAACAGAAGCTAAAATTATAAATTTCTTTGATTAGGTATTAGCCTCAGAATATGTGCCTTAAAAGCAATAAATACTAACATTCAACATTTTTGACTCTTAGTGTATCAGTTTCCTAGTGCTGTGTAACAGGTTACCACAACTTAGTGATTTATAATAAGGGAAATGTATTATCTCAGCATGTTGATCACAATTGTGGTAAAATCAAGGTGTTAGTAGGTATGCTTCTTCTGAAGGTTCTGTGGAAGCATCTGTTTCCTGCTCACTCAGTTTCTGTGGTTGAGAACTGAGTTCTCTATTTTCTTGCTTGCTGTAAACCGGTAAGCTACCACAATCCTTGGCTGATGGCCCACAAGCAGTCTTCAATATCAGTCCCTTTCACTCTTTGAATCTATCCTTCTTCTATTTCCTTTTCTGGACTGCACTTCTGTCTCCCTCTTCTGCATTTGAATCATGTGATTAGATTGATTCCCACCTGAGTAATCAAGAATAATCTCCTCAACTCGGGATACTTGAATCACACCTACAAAGTTATTTTTGTCATGTAAGACAACATCCATACATTCTAAGGACTAGGATGTGTATATCCTCAGTGGGCCATTATTCTGCCCACCATATTTAGCAGAGGTGTTGAGAATGGAACTACTCCTTAAAGAACCAAATCTAGATTACATGACAAGCATTTATATATACTCTGGAGCAAATGCCTCATGACCTTTGGCAATTATCTTAATGATAACATGTAACTGTCACCTCTAAAATATAAATTATATGTTTTCTGATATCTTAACCCAGTAATATATTTTTCTCCAGAAATTACTTTCCTTTTCTTTCCAATCTCAATTTTTATTTTTTAGTTCAAGATTGAAAAATGGCAGATTGCCCGTTGTAACAAGAGCAAGCCTCAGAAGTTTATTAATGATTTAATGCAAGTACTTTACACAAATGAATACATGGCCACACACAGCCTGACAGGGGCAAAATCTTCTACTTCAAGGGACAAGGCTGTAAAACCAGCAATGAATCAGAATGAAGTTCAAGAAATTATAGGTGATAATCTGATTGCATTATACTGTCATATGAATTTGAAATAATTTAACATTCAAAGTTAAGTTCTTCTTTTGTGGTCTTTGTTTCAATTTGTTTCCCATGGAATAAAAATCTCACAATAGTCCCAACTTCTTATTAAATGTGGAAAATTTTTATAGTAGCAGTGGTTATTGAAATAAAAGTAATTTTTATATTGCTGGAAAGTTTGGGTTCATGAAATGCATGACTTTACAAAAGTAAATCTTCAAAATCCTTACGAAATTTTAGTAACAGTGTATATCTTATTTTCTTTTTACTTATTTTACTCATTCTTATTTGAGTTATATCCCCAATCTTTTACTTTAGATAGAGGTTAATTTAATCATCCTATATATGATAATGAATCTCCTTAAATGTCATCTAGAGTAGCAAATTTTTTACAAGTATCCAACAATATTAGGGAATCATTGAATCTGAGGTCTCTTTATTTTAATAATGTGGTATTTCTTAGCTGCAAAGATTATTTCAATTGGTGTTGGAAATGTATAAAAATTTCTGAACATTTTGGATGAGGGTATTTATAGTTTAGCTCAAGCGCAAGCAGTGCCAAAGGAAAGCAAATATATATGTTCTAAGTTATAATAGAGACCTTCGTTATCTCTCATTTTTCTTTCAAAAACCTAACTTTAACTTATCTTTTTAATATCTTATATGTGTTTGGGCTGCTTTTGTTAAATGGAGACAAAATTTCTATGTAAATTGCTTTATTTTTTATCTCAGTTCATATCTTAAGAAGCAAAGGCCTCATAAAGTGTTTTGTGTGTGTGTGTGTGTGTGTGTGTGTTTTATATTATTTTTTAACAGGAGTCACAAAACAGATCTTTCCCACCACAGATGATGTTTCCATTAGGAGAATGATAGGGCAAAAGCTAAACAACTGTACCAAGAAGCCAAATCTAAGCAAAAATCCTAACTCTCAGGATATTAAGTAGTTCCTTTTGGTAAGTCTTTTAAATTTTCACAATTATTCAATATGGCAAAAAAATGTAATGCTTTTATCTGAAGAACAGCATTTTCTCTGGCATTCATATGCTAGAAAATACTGTGAAATGCTAGTAGGTATTTCTGGGGATGAAGATTTATATATGGAAAATGCAAAGTCCAGTTATACAGTTTATCCTTTCCCAGAACCTGTCAGATACTTTGATACCCTTCAACAAGCCCAGTGCACCAGAAATCTCTAAAAGGGAATATGGTGCTCTCCCTGATAGCACAAGAGTTTAAAGCGAAGCACTGTGGCGCTATCCTCAGCCACTGCAGTACCAGTTTGATCCTTGGTCAGAGAGGTGACCCACATGGCGAAGCAGACCACTTCTGTCTCACCAGCAGTGTACTTCAGTCAATCTTCCTGTTCTGCTCCCCACGCTGTCTCTGGTGAATCCTCTCACCTGCTGAATCCCTGGCCTATCCCCCTGTTCGTATATGCAAAGATGAGTGAATCTTCCAAAAAAAAGTTTAAATAAATAAAATAAAAGGGAATATGTTTTCAAAATATGTTTTACTGACGTACTCTTTTTTTCTTCTCAATGAACACATTAACTTGTGGGGGGGGGGACGGGGGTGTAGAAAGAAACCCAAAAGGGACACACTACAATCTAGCAAGTGTTTCTCTAGAACAGGGTAAAAACATACACTTGGAAAATCTTGCACCACATCTCTAAGACTGAATTTGAACTCTAAACACTGGTTCATTTTGTGTATTGGAGGTTTGACTGCCAGCATCCTTCATCTGCCTTCTCATTGTCTTTCTTTTTTTATCAGTTGTTAGTTTGTATCTGTTTGATAAGGATTTTTTTAAACAAAAATGTTTGTATTATACTAAGAAAAAGAATAGCCTGTTTTTTAATGAATTCTGAAGTCAATATGCTTTATAGTCAGGGCCTAACCTGTGAAGTTGGAATTTTGTGCTTGCTTTAGCGACCCATTGTCTAGCGATTTCACTTGTGCTCACATTTCCTTTCTATTATTTATCTGGAAAACATAGGTGGTTTAATATTTTAAGTGTGACTGGAGTAGAAGGAAAATGCATAAGGATGAGTCCAATACAAGTACCCCTTTCTTATCTTTTCATTTTCTCTACTTTTCCCTTTGACTTCCATTTTGCCTGTGTTCCACCTAACTCTAGCTACTTTTGAGACAGCTTGTCTTTTCTTTTTTATAGATTTATTTATTCGTGCATGCAAGAACTGTGATACAGGTAAGAGATACAGGGAGTGAGAGGATTCACCAGAGACAGAATGGGGAGCAGAATAGGTAGATTGACTGAAATACACTACTGAGGGGAGCAGCAGCTGGGACAAGAGAGGCCTGCTGTACCATGTGGTTCAGCTCCTTGGATGCGTACAGCCTCATAGTGCTGTGCTTTAACCTGTTGTGCCACCAGGGAGGGCCCACAACCTCTTTTCATCTGGCTCCTGTTTTAAATGGAATGTGGAATTCTGTGGAATGCAGTAATTCCCCACACCCTCCCTCTGCCTGTTGCCAACTTTCATTCCCATCCTCCTGTTAGATTCTTTACTAATTTGCTATACCGCTAAAGTCAGCCCTGATGAGACTCAGAATATTCTATCTTCCTAAAAATACCAAAGCCCAAAAACACTTACAAAAACCACAGTGGGATTCGTTCTATTGCACATACATATTGTAGACTGACTTAAGGATTTAGAAAACATAAAGATATTTGCATGCATTTTCTAGAGCGTCAATCTCACAACTTACCAATTAGGAGTTTACTGCTTAAAATAGCCCTCATTACTCCTCATTTTGACTTCAGACTACCTAATTTTCCTCATGTATAATGGCCATATTCCCTTTGTGAATGCTTTATAGCCAGAACTCCAAACTATAAGCTTATCTTTTGGAATACATTATTATATTTCATGGCTCTGCAAAGCATTTTAATAGGCTAACTTCTGCCTTCTTAATGTCTTCAATTGCTAGTGGTGGGTATTGAACTCATCTCTGCCCACATTAGCAGGAAAGTGTTGAGGGAATTAAAGTTAAAAACTTTTTATTTCAAAAATAAAATACATTATCGAAAACAAAAAAAAATGAAAATGCATACCATAAAAAGTGAAGTAAAATAAAAGTTCATCTGCAATGATTTAAAATGTTTTCAATACAGCGTAGATGGCACTATTGTTTTGTTATGACATTTTTCATATACATCCTGTGTTTAAGAACTCAAAAAATGAACAATTATTAAATAAGTAAAATAAACATGAAACTATTAAAAGATGTAAATATTTAACAGAAAAAAACTTTTTATTTCAGTTTTGAATATACTTGTCAGTAGTAGTCTTCTTAAATCATCTGGCCATGGCATTAATTGAAATTGAAAAAAGGAACAAACTTTTGCTGGGAACACAATTATCTTTTGGTGCATCTGACCCTGAACCTCACTTTGTAATGCAAAGCTGTCTGAAATAAAAATGCATACATTTTGAATCAGAAGTGAAGATTAACACTAGATGGAATTTTATTTTTAACTGGTAGACGTGTTCCATTTGAAGTGGAGCTAAATCCAATTTATTTCAAGACTAAGAAAATAATCTGGGAGTCACACAAAACCAAGTTCAGTCATGTGATGAATTAGTCATGTGATGAATTAGTCATGTTAGCACCATCTAGTGGAATGCTCCTGTTTTTCCCTGAGTCTTTCGACTCACAGGAGCATAGTAAAGTTGACTACAGTGGTTCAGGAAAGCCATACACCTTCCTCACCAGGCTGCCAAAATATTCTTTAGAAAAATATATTTTATAAATTGTATTGCATTATTACTAACATGAATATTAGTACTTCAAATTCATGCAGGGTTCTACAAATCTGTATGCAACTAAGAAGTCTACCAATTCCCAATAGTGGGCACACTGTGCCTTCCCCAAAGTGCTGAATTCAGGATTGCCACTAGTGGTCTGGACTTAAATGAGCAATAATTTCTCAGCTCACACTTATTTCTGTGAAGGTCAAAGCTGAATTTCATCCTTCTTTTTCGTGTATTCTTTCTCATGCCTGTGACTGATCTCAAGTTCCTGCAACTCACAATTTGCCAAGACCTTGCCAGAGCCAATCTTCCTGGCATTTCAGCACTTCTTTTTTGTAGGAGCTGAAAAAAAATTTGTAAGAATTACAGAATATCACTCCGTGGTAAAACAGATTTCTGAAATTTCAAAGCTATCGCTGTATGTATAATCTGTAATATTATACATGCATATATTATAGCTTAAAGATAATCTAATACAGTGGTACTCAAATGCGGTGGGAGGGATTTTTGTCCCCGTTTCCCCTGCCCACAGAGGTTGTTTAAAAACGTCTGAGGAGGGTTTGAGTTGTCCCACCTGGTGGTACTACTGGCATCTAGTGGACAGAAGCGAGGAATGCCGCTAATCAGACCGCAGTCAGAGAGGTCAGCCTCCCACAGCAGACATTATCCAGCACCGAGTACCAGCTGTTGAAAACCCTATTCTATTATGAGGCCCTAGTTTTGGATGTGAAGCTAAAGCCTACAGAGATTAAGTGAATGGCCAGAATCATATGACCAATGAACCAAGAGTGAGCCAACAATAGTTATCCTTTGTATTTTTTATTTTGTTAGTCATGATTTCTTCTGGGATTAATAAAATGTGCGGTTACAGTTTACTTTATGGAGTTGAAATATACATTTGTAGGGACTATTTACGCAGAGAAGAGTTGACTATTAACCCAGTGATGAATTTAAATGAGTCAAGGGGTCCTCTTTCCTGCAGGGACTTCAGTCTGTGTTCTTCAGGTCTTCAGTGGGTTAAGTGAGAAACACTTGCATTGTAGAGGGAAATCTGCTTTACTGAAAATGTACCTATTTAATTGTTAATCTCATTTTTAAAAATACCTTCACAGCAACATCTAGATTGGTATTTGATGAACATCTGAACACCATAGCCTAACCAAGTTGACACAATAAAATTGAATGTTTCAGGGTAAGAGTCTGATTTTAAGGCCCATTACACTATTAATGATTGTGTGGCATTTGGGAAGTCACTTAACGTCTCTGAACTTAAATTTAAACAGGGATATTAATATAAACTATGCAAGAGCTAGGTCCAGGATTTGTGGAACTTGATGTTTAATAGAATTTGGAAAACCCTCTTTAAGAAATGAAATGCAGCCCTCCCTGGTGGCACAGCGGGTTAAAGCACTGCACTAAGAAGCTTAAGCCACTTCCTCATGAGTTCGATCCCCACCTGCCCCGTAGGGGAGGAGATCCAGGTGGTGTGGCAGATCTCTCCTGACCCCCCGCTGCTCCCCTCAGCAGTGTACTTCGTTGATCTGCATGTTCTGCTTCCCACTCTGTCCCTGGTGAATCCTCTCACACTCCGCATCTCTGGCCTGTACCCCAGTTCTGTATGAATAAATAAATAAATCTTAAAAAAAAAAAAGAAATGCAAAATTATGGGTATATAATCAGTTTACAACTCTGCATATTAATTTAAAATAATAAATCACCATCACCCTGTTTATAATTAGAGAAGAAAATGTGATTAATAGAGAGTTGAAATAAAAAAAGTTACTAGATTATGGCAAATTTTAGAAAAATTTTAAATGTATGTGGCAATATTGCTAAGTTCTTTGCTTTGGAAAGAACCCCTGTAAGTTAGTTTTATTAGCTTCAGAGTAATTCTGCCATTGACCTTGCTCATATATTTCTTTAGGTTTTGAAAGATAAAGCAGACTTGGGCAGCACCTGATATTTCAAGAATCGATAAATTTTACTGAAGAATATCACAGTTGTTGACAAACTTTTAAGATAGTTAATGAGTGTGTAACAATGATTCATTTTGCCTTGTGTTTGAAATTTTATGCCAATTTTAATCATTCAAGATAAAAATTAAAGTGAAATGTTCTAATTGTTATCTATGCTGGAATTTCTCTAAACAGGCCATAAAGTAATTCCTAAAGTGCCTCAATGGAAATTTATACTTTTAAGAAAAACTTGTAGTAGACAAAATAGGGAATGCATACAACTTTTAGAAATACTATATACATTTATTCAATAAATCAATTTGTTTAACAGATTAACATAAATTTGCTGTTTTTTGAAATATGCTTTTGATAGATAACATAGGTACCTGAAAATGTACCCTCGGTTCAATACTGACATTGGATTTTGTTGGAAAATCTGCAACCTCCCTGGCCCTGAACAGAGAGATCATGACTGCCTGTGAGATAACTGGGACATCGCTGGGCTCTTCTGATGCGGCAACAAGATTGTTGAAGAAGCTGCATGTAGATTCCACCCTAAATTCCAGTCAAAAAAGCATGCAGAATAGTGACTTTGGAAATATGCATTTCCCCACTCCAAAATGCTTTTCTATGCCGCTAACTTAACAGGATAGTGAGAGTTTTTATCATAGCAGCAAAGACTTCAGTCCTTAAGATCCATCCTTGTACTAAGCAATCATAATACATTTATGGTTACCAATAACTCCCCATTTTAATGTTCGGATTTTCAGAATAAGAACACATTTGGAAAAGTAAGCAGTGAAATAATCAGTGTTCAGACATAAGAACAGCAGAGTCAGCATAGACTCTGATAATCATAGCTAACCAAGTAAGGATGTCTTTGCAATAAAATTATTCTGTTATCTAAAAATGTGTAGTAGAACTATGAAAGAAATGAGAACAGCAAGACATTTTCATTTTAATATTAAACTACTCTGTCAAGGTCCTGAAAAATAAATAAAACCAATTTGTGATTGTCAAAACAATGTATTGGCTTTTAGAAAAATCTTTGTTTCCTTTTCATGTTTCAATATTTTACTGCCCAAAATATGTCAAGTAAGAAATGTGATATAAAACATCAGTCAAGAATATCCTTTATTAACTATAATATTCTATGCATTTGGTTGGTCCTATTGTTACTCTGCTTAGTTCTAGTTTTTAGGTGATTTTTATTCATTCTTATTTTCTGAAATATGCTTTTTATAGATATTATAGGTACTTGAAACAAAGGACCTTCAGTTCAAAATCTAACATTGGATATTGTGTCAGAAGAAAGAAAAAGAATTGAAGGCAAAAGTATTTAGGTTTGATAAAACATACAAAAAGAAAAATATCATATGAAAATAAAACATTCTTCGTCAAGAGACTTCTCTGATTTCAGAGCATCACACATAGCTAATCTGCAGTACCAAACACCGGTGTATAAGGATGTATTTCAATTTCGGAGAGAGGATACATACAATAATTACACAATTCAGTCCTGTGGACCCAGGGAGTATTCCATAAGTGTTGCTTGATAACAATGTTGTTGTACAAAACAAATATTCTTAAGGAAGTAATTTATGTCGACATTTACTACTTACATATAAATAAATACCATCAAAAACAAAAAGTATTTGCTTGTTTCTTTACGAATATGTGTGGGAAAATCCTTGTCTAGGCTGATGGCTACCCACACATTGAGGCACTGCCATTGAAATTTGACCATGTGTCTCTGGATTGTCTGATACAGATCCATGTTAGGACTATATGTAAATGTCCAAGGGAGTTAAACTTTTATCGAACAAGAATAATCTTATTTAGTTATATTATCTTCTTTCAAAAAACTACTTCTTGTTAATGTTTGCCTACTAGTGTAACAAAACATAATCATATTATGTAACTAGAAATCCTATTGTCCTTCTTTGAGTACCTTGAGATAAGCAGATTTTTTATATAATATAATAGTTTATTTTTACATCATTTGTACTTTTTTTATTTTCATTTCAATTGTAATCCCCATGTGTTTCCCATCACCAAGTCACTGTGTGCCATCACCATAGTCCAGTGCACTTCTCTCCCCCCACCATTTTTGATCCCATTCCCCACTCCACCCCCATAAAATGTGTCTGGTATATAGCTGTTCATTATTCTTATTATTTTCTCACCTGATCCATTATGCTCCTGCTATGAGCGAAACCATCCGGTATTTTTCTTTTTGTGTCTGGCTGAGATAAGCAGATGTTTTATACAAAATAGAATATAAGTATATTTATGCAGACTTATATATATCAGTTCTAAATGAAATACAAATTTAAAATACTAATGAAATTTAATTGAATATCTAAAAAGCAATAGATATACATGAAGTTGTATGTATATATATGCATGTTATATATTCATAAATGTAACAATACAGAATATTTTTATATTAAATTTCTTTATTTGTATATATGTTACATCAAGTGTAGTCCACATAGAATTTCCAACACCAATTCTCCAGTGTACCATCACCGTAATCCCTTCTACTCTTCCCACCCCCGTTTTGATCCCTTTCCCTCCTCTTCTGCAGAAAGTCTCTAATTTATAATTGTCTGATTAATTTAGAATATTTAAAGTAAAACTGTTGTTCATTACAGAAAGGGAGATTTATTCAATAAATGATACTAACCCAACTGGTGAATGAAAAATAGTTAAATTATGTTCCCTTTTCAAACCATATTTCATAGAGTACTACATTTAGTAAAAAGTAAAGTTTGAAGGCACATGAAAAGACAGGAGGGGGCTCCCTGGTGGTGCAAGAGATTAAGTCTCAGCACTATCAAGTTATCACCAGCCACTGCA